TTATTAAAGGCGTTCCATACTTTTTCATTAAAGCATGAAATAACGAAGGAATATGTCCATTAGGGCTTTTCACACATATACATCGGAATATTCTTGAATATTTAAATATTTTCTCTATCAACACTCTATGTTATTACATTATTCCACACGTCGCACGCAACCAGCTAGTGCGTTTCGCAGCTGGCGAATCAGCTTAGCGACGCGTATGAGTTGTAAAACAATGGCGAATGTTAAGCTACGGAACGTATGTTAACAAGCATGAAAGCTTAAACCCGGATAAATTAATCTGCATTACTTCGCGCAAACGTGATCGTTATCGAGTTACCGCTACTTTAACTGTCGAAATGATCTTAATAAGCTTGCGGGCGATCCAATTACGTAGTTTATCCGCGTTTGTTCTAATCACACTCATTATTCGTGAAAATACTCTGGTGCAGCGTGACAGTGCAATATTTCGGTGTAACGTTGCGCTAAATTAGTCTGGACAAGCGCGTGAAAATCATGAATTCTTTCCCGCGCGATTACGTTTTATAATAATACCTCTTTTTAAACAAAATGAAATAAAAAAAAATATTTAAAATACTTCTCAAAAAGAATAAATAAATAAATTGAAATTATACGAATAAAATACAAAGTGTCGCAATTTTGTATACATTACAGTTACACGCGGTTGATTGATCTCGGCAAACGAAATAATGATGTCGGGATTGCAACACGCTTTTATTTACCCGACTTTTCCGGCCGGTAGAATATCGGGCGAATATTTATAACCTCGAATCGTTCGAGCAGCAACAAGATCGATCGAGTGCTATTCCTATTACATCGGTGCTCTCCGAATGTTTACCCGGGGCAAACGATTGATTGATCATCGGTGCTAGTTATTTTCAATCGACACGAGACGATACGACTTTTATTTTATCGATAACCACAACGATAGTGGTTATTTATTCGCGCGATTCTACGAGAATGGCTGTAACAATCAGATCATCTATCGATCCTGTCAATCATTATTTGTTAACTCCGGAATTAATGAAATCCCAAGATCAGAATCTCGATTATATATTATAATTCGTAAAAGTAAATCAAGTTTCGATGAAAACTTGCTCGAAGTTAATCCACGAACAAGAAGTTTCGTTTTATTTTTACTCTCGACTGCTACCAACTTCGAACTGTTCAGCTAGTAATTAGCTTTTCATTTAATCTTCACGATAAGACGATTCGACTCGTCTCATATTCTCACCAAGGAATATATTATTCATGTCTCCATTATTAGGCCCTTTATTTAATTATTTGTCTGTGACGTTTGTCATGTGAATTTATGCAAGTTAACGTCGTTTCGAAATGTACTGTAATGAAAATTATAAAGACACCAGAAAATATTCTAAGCAATGTTTGACGCTTGAGATATTACAAGTATCCCTCTATTTGACGGGATCTCCGAGACTTTAGTCATAAGTCGAATTGATCATAAGAATAGTAATCATATTATCTATTGCTTTTCTTTCTCTTTTAGTAATAATATTTGTATTACTAGCCATTCTAGAATATAAATATTGTAATTTCAAGGTTATGTAAAAAAGTAAGTTAATATCCATTTCTATCAATGGGCATTTTTTAGCAAGAATACAGTGTAACATAGTGAATCATTTTATTCTTGTTTAACGTTGGCAAACAATAAGAATGTAATGATTCACTGTGTTATACTGTATCCTTGCTGGAAAACGTCCAATGTAGAGTCTCTTTAATCTCAGTTCAATTGTTACACACACATATATTCAACTTTGTGTGTGTGTGTGTGTGTGTGTGTGTATGTGTGTGTACATTGTAAAAATAAAATGTTCATTTTAACTTAAATACGTTTACGTGGACTTTCTGTAAAAAATAAAATGTTGATTTTAATCTAAAAACGTTTAGTGGATTTTCTGAAACGTGCAAAAATGTTAAAATAAACACAAAAATGTTAATTTAAAACATTTTGCATGTCTCAGATAGTCCACTAAACGTTATTAAGTTAAAATTAATATTTAATTTTTTACAGTGTATATATATATATATA